GTTGGGGATGGTGGTCCAGGCCACCTTGGATGTCACCGGTGACAGCCCACCGGGACCTGGCAGCTAGAGCACCTGCGGACATTTTCCTGACCCTCGATTTCAGGAATCGGGATACAGAAGGTAGGCCGAGGAAGCCTCTTTGGGCGTGAAGTCCGATTTTATAAGGATGGACTCCCTGGAGACTACTGCGATTCCTTCCCGGGGTTGGGAGAAAAGTCCACAGGGCCACAAGCCCAGGCCCCAGCCACGGACCAAATATTACCAAGAAAAGGGACAAGAAATTGGACTGTGCCTTCTTAAAACCTTGAGTTTCCCCTCAGTTTCTTCACCCGGTCTCGCTTTTGCCACACACCTCTCTTCCCGAGGTTTTCAAGGTGAATGAATCCCTTCCGCCCCCCCGCCCGCGCTTTCGCGTTCTCAGCTCACGAGATTCGGCCTCGGACTTAGACGCCGAGAGAGGCGACCTGCGAGTCGCTGACCTGAAAATTTGGCGCCAAATGACAAGGGCCGGGCTGCGAGCTCAGCGTGCGCAGCGTGAGGGCTGAACGGCGCGAGTGGACCCAGACACGGTGGGCGGGGCGGGGATCGAGGGGCAAGGGGGCGGGGATCGAGGGAAGAGGGGGCGGGGACCGAGGGTCGAGGGGGCGGGGCGCTACGTGTTGCTGCCAGAGGAGCCTCCTGGGGGCGACTCCCTGAACTGGGGCGGGCTTACTGGGCTGAGGCAGGGGCGCTGAGGTGGAGGAAGTGTACCGAGTATAGAGGCCTTGATGGCAAGAGAGGCTGGAGAGCCTCTTGAGCTGAGGGAGATGCCGAACTAAGGGAGAGGACTCTGAGGTGGAGGCGCTGAGGAGATGCGTAGATATTAGAGGGTGCTGGGTTGGGCGCCAGGGCAGGCTGCTGTGAGAAAGAATGTCCTAACGTAGGGTTGCAGGGCTGTTCCGAGCTGAAGAGAGGCGGCTGGGAAGCGGTTGATTTGGGGAAGGGCACCACTGAGGTGAAAGGCCTTGAGGGGAGGGAGTGGTGTTGAGTGGAGGAGTTGTTGTTGTTGTTATGTGCCGTCGAGTCGGCCCGACTCATAGCGACCCCTCCTTGGGTTTCCGAGGCAGTATCACTACGGAAGTAGGATTGCCCAACCTTCCTTCCGAGGAGTGGCTGGTGGGTTTGAACCGCCAGCCTTCTGGTTAGCAGTCAAGTGCTTTAGCCACTATGCTACCAGAGTGGAGGAGAGGGCGGTGATATTCCCAATGCTTCTCTTAACGCGAACCTTCGGGTTAGAGAGTGGAACGGTAAGGGGTCTGTCCCCTTGTCCAACGCTTTTCTTTTCATTCCAAGTGTTTCAGGCTGGCTTCACAGTCTGTCCCTCAAACCTCAGTGTTCCAATCCACACCCTTCTCCTTGACTCTGCTACCATTTACCACGCTCTTTTCTGCAACTGAGACATGGAAGGCCCATTCAGGCTGGAGAGTAATTTTTCTTCATTTTAAATAGACAACAGAAGCCAAACATATTTAGGTCCAGCTTTTAAACAGAAAATTTCGGCCTGCCTTCATGCCAGCAGAGCCATCTCTGGCAGCGTCACCCTCCTCCCTTTAGATGGAGACTGACTGTTGTTGAAGAGTCATGAATATTTGAAAGAGCATCTGTTGAGGTGGAGGCTGTGATGGATCTTGGATGAATATCTATGCAAACAGTTCTTTGAGTTCAAGACCTAGTACAGGGTGACCCTTTTTCCTCAGTATCTGAATCATTTTGCTGGAATAAATAGCAAACATTTCCCACAATAGCAGCTGGCATTTTGTAGGACTTCTTCCCCCCACCCCCCAGGTGGATTGTTTAAACAGCCAATAGCTAACTGCCATAGCTCTTCAAAATCTGTTGTTTTCCTGCAACATCGCCTGTCCTCCTCTTGTTCAATGGAAATTAATGGCCATTTTTGGGATAAACTAGGTAGTGATGATAGGCTTTCACTTGGAGGCCTCATAAAATAATTATAGTAACTTCTGAGCGGTGTTAGATGAAGACAACAGTCTACAGAAGAGCTGCAAAGAGGACAGCAAGATGATTTAGGGAAATATAACATATGTAGTTTGGTGTAGTGACAGCTGGGAGGGAGAAATGTTCATAATATTTGAAGGTTGTGTGCAATACACTTAAAGAAAGAAACTGAAATGAGCTTAGTAATGACATATTCATGAAGTGAGGATAAAAATCTTGTTTGGATATCATAGATGATTATATACAACTTTAAATTTTTTTTTTTTTAAATTAAAACGCTTGAGGTAGTTAAAAATTGTACATGAAGACCTTTCCACTCAAATAAGACCAACAAAACAGATGAGTCTTTCAAGTCACAGAATTCTGAATATGATGAAGGTGGCATTTCAAACAGGGGAAATGATGAATGGAGTAAATGGTGTTGGAACATCTACATAGCCATCTGGAAGAAAAATAAACTTGGAATCATACCTCACACCTTACAACAAAATAAACTGCAGATAAATCCAAAATTTTATCTGAAGAGTAAAATAATAAAATTACTAGAAGAAAACATGATAGAATTTTTTAAAAAATATATTTTGGAATAGGAAAAGTCCCTTTGAGAATGACAGAAAACTCAGAAGCCATGGAAAACTGACAAATACATCTTTAAAAAAAAAAATTCTGCAAGAAAAAATGTCACTTTCCTGTCCTAGATAGAGAGCATGGCCAAATCCATTAATAACTGGATAATACCATTTGTCCAATTTTTCAAATTCTTCAGGGACTCCACAAGTTCTCCATAAAATTTTAAAATTTTGTGTCATATTTATGATGTTCCAAAATATAAAAATAGGCAATGGGATTACAGTCAGGTTCTAATTTTTTAACCATTACACTTTACTGCCCCTTTGTGGACAAACACCTTATAACCAAATAGAAACAGGTGATTTCTGTGCGTACAATCGATTTTTTCAAATTGATGCCTGTAGCACATATTCTTGGAGGTTTCCAAGCTCAAATTTAAGAATGGTTTTAGTGGAGAACTAAAGAATGAAGGTTCATCACAAAAAAGAATTCCATTGGGTACATCTTCCTTTAAACGTATACAATTAATTCAAAAATGCCTACTATTTGTTTGGCACCATGCTAATCATAGGAGCTCTGGTAGTGTAGTGCCTAAGGCATTTGACTGCTAACCAGAAGGCTGGCAGTTCAAACCCACCAGCCACTCCTTGAAAGGAAGG